CTTTCTGCGTTCCCATTTAACTTGCACAGGCCACATGAAGTTACTATTAAACAACACAAATCTCAATGGTGTCAGCACCTAGTTAGGAAATCTTCCCAGCAGCACCATCTTGGAACTGTTTCCCCAGCACTGCAAGAAGTTTAGGGGCCCAGGAGTGGCACATTTTGAGCAAAATTTGGCCACCCACAAACTTGCTCTATGGGCATAGTCATAGGGTAGCGGGGCAGGCAGTCGCCCCCCACCCCCAATTTCAAGCAAATGATTAAAAATACTTAACTGACCAATCACATCACAGATAGCTCAGTATTGCCCCCCCCCGCCAAATAAATCCTGAATACCAGCACCTCCAGATTCTGCTGCTTCTGTACCAGGGTTAATTGTCACCCCCCCCCCCCGCAGTATCATGGGAACTGTAGTTTGGCAAGATGTTGTGAGGGGGGGAAATATTCTTTGTGATCCCCAACACTTTCTCATTGAACTACACCTGTTATTGATTTATTACATTTATATTCCACCAATTAGATACATTTTAGACCAGAGATGGGGAACCTCAGACCCAGGGCTCAATTGCAGCCCTCCAGGTCTCTGGGCCTGGCCCCTGTGACTCTCCTTAAGCCACACCTCATCCCTGGCCTTGCTTTCCACCTTCCTCTGGTGTTATTTTCCCTGACTAGGGCATGATATAAGTAAAAGAAACACCTGCTCCTTTTCCCTTATAGGGTACCCAAGAGGCCATATAGAGTCCTTTTGTAGGTTCTCTATCGGTAGGAGAAAATAACAGAGGCCAACCAGAGAATATTGAGAAGCAAAGCAGCTAGTAAGCCTGATCTTTATTAACTGTTGCAACAGGGTGCTCCCCTCACACGCAGGAGAGAGGAGGAGGACCCCGAGCCATGCGTGCAAACCCTTATATAGACATTTTAAATCCCCCCCCCCGGAGTCCAAGACCACCCCCAGAAACATCATACCTACATCACAGAAAAGGCGGTCTACAACAGAAATCTGAGTGCGTTGTTTTTACCCTTTCTGCCAGGTTACCTGTTAATGGTCACTTGACTGGATTACCTGGGGAGCCTGGCCATTCTTTTGTAATGATAATACTTAATTCCTGAGCCTATTCACACCTTAAATGGTGCAGGATTTGTGAGGACAGAGACAATGGGGAGGTTTCTGCATTTCCTTCCACCTTGTAGAGAAATATTTGAGGTGACTGAAAGAGTCAAAATGGCTTTGGGACGTTTCCTGTGGGTTTTGGACATGTGGTTTATATATTTATATTTATATGTGTGTTTCCTTGGTACATTTATGAACATTTTTTAATATATATATACAGTGGGATGTGGCCCCTGGAAGGCTGCCTGTAAAATGCAGCCCTCAAAGTGCAAAAGGTTCCTCCCCCATGTTAGGCTGCACAGGCACCATACATTTAATGCACATGGTTTCCCGGGGGGGGGGCGGGAACCCAGGATGCTGTGTCATCCCCCAGCCAAAATTCTCAGCACCCTTAATAAACTACAGTTCCCAGGATTCTTAGATGGGGGCCAAAGAAAGTGCTTTCAATAGAAGCAGCCTCAGTCCCTGGGCTGAATGGCCTGAGGTTGCTCTGCAGAGTGGGGAGTGGCAGTCCCACGGCCTAGAGAACGGGGTGGGGGGTGGGCTCCTGCTTATTCCCTTGGCGCCCGAAGAGGTTATTCCACGCAGTCCCACGACCACCACCTTGGGCAGCTACTCTTCTTCGGTGGGGGGGGGGGTCTTGCAGCTTCGCGCATGCGCCGCGGAAGAACCAGGGGCGCCCACCTCCCCCACCATTTCCTTGCGCGGGGGGAGGGGAGGGGACTGGAGCATGCAAGGCGCCCCCCCTGCAAGGCAATAGCCCCCTGGTAGCTCAAGAAGCAGAGGCGTGTGTCTATGTGGGAGCTCAGCCCCTCCCCTCCCACAACGCCCCCCCCGCCGGGTGGCGGAGATGGTTCGTTCCCTCCTGCTTCGTCTCCCCCCCCCTTCGCCAGGGCAGATGGTACGTTCCTCCGGCCGACATTCAGGCTGGGGAGGGAGGGAGGCAGATAGAGACCCTCCTTTCTTTAGCCGAGAGCGCTTAGGCGGCTGCTGCTGCTGCAACCACCTTGCTGGGGGCTCGTAGGAGAGAGAGAAAGGCGTCCCTTCCTCGCTGCTGGGCAGGCCGGGCGTGGGGCTCCCCCCCTCTTCCTCCCCTCCCCCCCTTGGGGGGTGGCATGACCCTCTTCGGCAGCCGGGAAGGGGGCTGGCGCTGTGAGTACCGCTCGTGTGTGTGTGTTTGTCCCACTTCCATAACCCCCGCCTCACCCCCGGGTTGCGTACTTGGGAGGGGGGGGGAGTCGCCCTCCTCCCAAAAAAGGGGACTAGGAGCGGGGGCTCCACCGCCCGGAAGCAATGAAAGAGGAAGGGGGAAGCGTGGGGGGGGGGAGAGAGGAGGGTGTATCCGCTGGGTCCCCATCAAAAGCCCCATGCCGCCTCCTTTGATTTCGCTGCGCAGGAGGGGCGCACGCGCGCGCCCTTCCATTTGCTTTGCGCCTCTTGCTTGCAGAACGAAGCAAGGGGGGGGGGTGTCGCTTCCTAATTCTTCAGAGACATCTTTACTGGGCCCAACTCTGGGTGGGAAGAAAGTTGGATGAGGATTGACGAGAGCTCTCTCTTTAAAAAAAGAATGATAGAAATTGGCATTTTTATTTTATTTTTTTGAGGCCTGCAGCGCTAGAGGTGGCTAGGGCAACTTGGAGGGGTCTGGGGGTGGTGCTTCTATGAACCCCCAGGCAGGGACCTGCCGTGGGACCGGGCGCTGATACACTTGGAGGACGTTTGAGGGTGGGACGGAGAAGAGTTACTGGAGCCCCCTCCCCGGCCCTTGCTCAGGAAGACCCTCGCTGGCCTCTATGTCCATCCTGAGACTCTGGCCTCTTCAGATTCTGGGAAACTTTCCCTTGCCAGACCAAGAGGAAGCATCCTTGCCCTGGGATGAGGAAGTCGGGACCCCTCCCCACATTTCTCTCTCTGCCTTGCAGGAAATGGGGCTCAGGATGCCTGGGTCTAGCATGCCAGTTGCCCAAGGGCTCCGGCTCAAGTCCCCTGATGGTGCCCTGGAATTGGAGGTGCCCAGGCCCAAGGAGCACATGCCCAGCCTCAGAGGTGTGGCAAGGCAGGAATTCTGCCTCTGTGGCTCATGCCCAGTGACAAAAAAATGTAAACACTTAACATGGTGTTCTAATTAATTTTTCAACTTGGTTATAGTATTAAGATGCAGTTCAGCAGGCAAGTCTTTTTATTCCCTGCTGTCCTGCCAAGTAAAGGACAATAATGAGATGCCGCTCTGATTTGCCTTGTAGACAGATTGTGTAAATGAATGGGGAGGCTGGGGGGGCATCTCTTTGGTCACCCCCCCATGCTGGGACACTGCCTCTGCTGACACCATTAAGTTGCTTTAATTGTTTTTAATACTGTATAATTTTTATCGCTGTAACCTACCCTTAGGGTGAGTAATAATAACACATAATAATAATAATAATAATAATAATAACAACAACATGTTTCAGTTCCTTGTATCTACAGTATAGAGACTACTCTTGTCTGTACACGAACCTGAAAAATCTAAGCTGGTTTATATCCCTGTGAGATGTTCTAAGGATCTGCCCTGCCGGAGGGGGTCAGCCTTGGACTTTGTTAGGGGGTGCCTTCTGGAGTGACAGTGGCCTCCACCCAGCCTGCCCCCTCCTGGGCTTCTGGCCTCCTCCTTGTGCTGGGGCTTCTCTCTCATGGTCTTCCTCTTTCTCTAGATCTCGACATGGCCCGGGAGCCTAAACTGAGCCACGCCAGGCCAAGCCAGAAGAGGCAACACAGCGGAGGCCTGTACCCGTGAGTCTTTTGTCACCACGGATTGGATCCGGCTGTGCAATGTCCCGTTTACTGTGTCTAGGCAGGGAAGGGCAATCTGTGCGGCCCTCCAGGAGTCGTTGGACTCCAGCTCCCATCAGCCCCTGCCAGCAAGCCCCTGCCATCACTCAGGGTGATGGGAGTTGTACCAGCTGCTTATGACCTGGTCATGGTGCCCCCTCGGAAACGGCCCTGAGAATCTCCTTCTCCAACCCATTCACTGCCTGGGTTGAGTTCCAGGCCCCCCCCCCCTGGCATGGAATTCCTGGTTGCTGGTGGTGAACTATTTATTTTTATTGATTTGCACTTGTTGCCTTGGTGTTCCACCTTCCCCCGTCCCAAGATGTTGAAGATGGTGTACATAGTTCTCCCCAACCTCCTTTAATCCCCCACAACAACCCTGTGAGGTAGATTAAGCGGAGAAGCGGTGACTGGCCCCCGAGGTCACCTGGTGAGCGTCATGACCGGGTGGGGATTTGAGCACTGATGTCCTTCTCAAGCCTCCTCTGCTGGGTGCTGACAAGCTGCCGTTTAAAATTCCCCCCAGTGTCTAGACATGATGTTGGGACGTTGTGGATATTTCAAAAAAGCCTCTGCTTGGTCTAGAGTGGCTGCTTGCCTCCAATTAGGAGGCGTTGCTGCTGCTTTTTGCACCCAGAGTTGCTGGCAGACGGTTTTTGCCACAGCTACTCATGCTCTGGTAACTGAAAGTTTCCAGCCACCGCTTATCCTCTGGCCAAGAAATGTGCTGCTTGCTATATTTCTGTGCCTCTTGCAACTAGACTCCAGCTGCCCTCAGATGGATTGCTTTTTTTCTTCATTAGCTCATGGCACGCAAATCTGGAGGCAGTGCTAGGAAGGGGGAGCATGGAAGCCCAAGGGATAGGTGCAGGCTTGACTACTGCACTAAGTGATAAGTGGGGCTGCTCTTGCAAACTGTTCGGAAGCGTCCGCTGCTCCAGAATGGGACAATCAAATGGTTAGCCAGAACTTAAATGCGGGAAACGTATTTGTAGCTTTGCTTCAGGTAGACTCCAGGGGGAGAGTTTTTTCTATGGTAGCATTGCGGTTGTGGAACCCACCCACCCAAAGCCACTAACCTGGCCTGGCTGCTTTTCTGCTTTCTTTTCGGTGCCACCCTGTTTCACATGCATGGGCTGCGTTCAGTTTCCTATTTTCCAGGGCTGGAGAGAGAGGGACGAGCACTGTGCTCTTCTATCGCCGCTTTGCTTCATCTAGATCCTCACGTGGAGGGTATTCTGCTGCCAAGAAAACAGATTATAACCCTGGGATTAGGCAGAAGGGTGGTTTGTTGGGGGTTTTTTTTGGCATTTATTTATTTATATGGCTGGTAATGGAAATTGTTTGGTTGTAGCTGTTGAGAAGAGGAAGCTGTTGGGGTGGGGTGGGGGGTAGGCAGTGTCTGCAAGACGCTTTTCCTGTCCTCTTAGATTCTGGTGGGATCCGGTACTGGTTATCCAGCCATAATCTCTGCCTGATCTCCCTGTGTGAAGGAGCTGTGACATGAACAGCTTGTAGGTAGGACAGAATCTGCTCCAGGGCAAAGGCAAGACAGAACAGGAGGTTAGTGGTGCTCCCAGACAGGGATGGGGTTGGTTTTATTATTAATTTAGAACAATTGTTACCCTGCTTCATAGCCCTGAGAGGCTCTCGGTGCATCTTAGCGCAAAAAAATTGCGAGCGGGCTGTTGAGATATCTCAGATGAGTTGCTAGCAACAGGATTTGTTGTGATGATTGGATTTCCCCTGCAGAAAGGGTAAATGGGGGATAAGAGATGGCGTTTTGATGCCAACGCCGTTATGCAGATGCTGCAAAAATACATCCAAAAAACACCTGTCTGGAAGCAGACTCGGGAAACGGTTGGGTGGCCACTTACGCATTGCCAAAGCTGAGGAAGCCTAGCCGAGAAAGAGAGAGAGAGAGAGAGAGCCTTCTGCCTGATCTTAACACCTGAGAGGGTCTGTAGGGAAGGAGGCAAGCTTTCATATATTTGTGGCCTTAGCCGTTCCGGGTTTTAAACACCAGTGTGAGCTCCTTGAATTGGCCATGGAAATGAACTGGAAATTATAACAGGAGTTGTGTTTGTTATAAGCGGAACCCCAGCCAGTAATTTTGCCACTGCATTTTGGATCATTTGAAGCTTCTGAGGTGTCTTCAAGGGCAGCCCCATGTAGAGCACCTTGTAGTATGGCAGTCAGGAAGTTACCAGAACATGGACTACTGTGGTCAAGGTGTCTTTGTCCAAAACCAGCAAACCGGATGGAGCTGGTAAAAGGCACTCCTATTTATTTATTTTTATAAATACAATCCTAGTCAATGAAGTCATCCTAGCCTCCAGTGAGAAGGCCAAATCCAGGAGATCCCCCAAGCTATTGACCTCTTCCTTCTAGGGGAGAGCAGCCCACTAGGACAGCTTTTCTCTCCATCTCTTGGACTCAGAAATTCAGGATACATAACACCTCTGTCTCTCAGTGAGTTGTTTTGATGGAATTCTGGGCCTCATCAATAGGAGTATAGCATCTAGATCAAGGGAAGTAATAGTGCCACTGTATTCTGCTCTGGTCAGACCTCACCTGGAGTACTGTGTCCAGTTCTGGGCACCACAGTTCAAGAAGGACACTGACAAACTGGAACGTGTCCAGAGGAGGGCAACCAAAATGGTCAAAGGCCTGGAAATGATGCCTTATGAGGAACGGCTAAGGGAGCTGGGCATGTTTAGCCTGGAGAAGAGGAGGTTAAGGGGTGATATGATAGCCATGTTCAAATATATAAAAGGATGTCACATAGAGGAGGGAGAAAGGCTGTTTTCTGCTGCTCCAGAGAAGCGGACACGGAGCAATGGATCCAAACTACAAGAAAGAAGATTCCACCTAAACATTAGGAAGAACTTCCTGACAGTAAGAGCTGTTCGACAGTGGAATTTGCTGCCAAGGAGTGTGGTGGAGTCTCCTTCTTTGGAGGTCTTTAAGCAGAGGCTTGACAACCATATGTCAGAAGTGCTCTGATGGTGTTTCCTGCTTGGCAGGGGGTTGGACTCGATGGCCCTTGTGGTCTCTTCCAACTCTATGATTCTATGATTCTATGATTCTAGGAGGCTTTCCAGTTAAATGTAACTGCTATAAATCCTGGGAATTGTCGTTTAACTGAGGGCGTAAAGGACAGTTTCCTAGTAAGCCCAAGCTCCCCTCACTGATGCTGACCCCTGTCCTGGAGCCCTTGCACAGGGTGGCTGCAAGCGGCCATCTTAAATTTCCCACAATGCCACAGAACATCCGCCATAAGGCTGCTTTGGAACATGGTTGGAAATTTTAAAATGGTGGCCGCTGTGTGCTGGGTGAGACTGCTCTGGGAAGAGGTGTCTTCAAGATGTGCCTAGGGGAAATCAGTGGGGTCTGGAGGAGAGCAAACGCTGGAGGGGACTGAGGCGGTTCCACCCACCCCCAGGATTGTGGCCTTGCAGGCCTGTGGTCACAGGAGTAAGAACCAGCGTTGCTGAACCCACAGATGGAAACTTGGAAAACAAAAGGACTGAACAAAGCCTCCCAAAATAACTTGGAGGGGCAAACAATAGCTGCTACGCAACAGCTTTTCCCAAATTCCTGGCTTCGGCTCCCCTTGTGGCTGCCAATGTGCCGTCTCGCCGTGCCTTTAAAAGGAGGGGTGTAGCTATTGCCGGGGGTGTGAGCCATTCTTCAATCCTTCTGAAACCCTATAGCTCCCTTTGTCCTGCAGCCCAGAGGAATAGGCTTCGCAGGCCTTCTCCTCCTCCACCATTTGGCCCCTGCCTGGGTTTGGCACTGGCTGAGTTCCAGGATCTGCCCTGTTGCATACAAAGAGCCTGTGAAAGAGGAGAGGAGCGACCACAGGAAAGCAATAGGTTTTATTATGGCCTGAGCCTTCACAGGCCTTCATCAGGCATCCTTCATCACTCAGGTTCTTGCCCACCAGAACTCAGGCCATCCGAAGTGTCTCTTGTGTATGATACACACTTTCCTGCCCTTTCTTCGACGCTCTTCCAGAAATCTGGTCTGCTGGAGCCAGAGGAAAAGGGCTGTGATGCAGAAAGAAAACCCAGTGCCATAAGCCAGGGTCTGTGTATTCTCCCTAAAGATAACGACACACCCATTCTGGGCATTCTGTGGCCTGTGCGAAATTAGGCGTGCTGGTTTATTTTGTGCAAGTTCTTATGATTCTGCTAGTTATGGGGAAGGGACGACCAGCTGCTCCTTCTACCGGTGGCAGTCCTGCTGGTACTGCTCTGGAATTTTTTTTGGGGTTCCTTGTAAAACAATTTAAAAAATTTAATCTGCAAAACATGGGTCAAGTAACAGCAACCAGAGGACAGCAGTGTTTGAGACTTGCAGGGCTGGCTTCAGGTTACAGACTCCGCTAACCCAGAAATAGTACCTTGGGTTAATAACTTTGTTTCAGGATGAGAACAGAAATCGTGCTCCGGCGGCACGGCAGCAGCGGGAGGCCCTATTAGCTAAAGTGGTGCTTCAGGTTAAGAACAGTTTCAGGTTAAGAACGGACCTCTGGAACGAATTAAGTACTTAACCTGAGGTACCACTGTATTATTATTATTTATACCCCACCCATCTGGGCAGTTTCCAGCGCATATAAAAACATAATAAAACATCAAACATTAAAAGCTTCCCGATATAGAGCTGCCTTCAGGTGTCTTTTAAAAGTTGTGTAGCTCTTTATCTCCTTTACATCTGAAGGGAGGGCATTCCACAGGGAGGGTGCCACTGCCAAGAAGGCCCTCTGCCTGGTTCCCTGTAACTTCGCTTCTTGCAGTGAGGGGGAATGATGGCTGTCCTGTTCGCCTCGTGTGGTTGTGCCAAAGGGTGGAGGGGGGGGCTTCACCCCACCCCTGCCACCTTCCAGAGCCAGTTTGGCCAATGCCAGAGCCCTTCCTTTAGGAGATGGACAAGCCATCACCCCTGGGACATGGTTGCTGCTGTGGCAGGGAGACTTCCCGAGTGGTCAGGCAGAGAAAAGCTGCACAAAACAATCTCCTGGCATCGAGGCAGCCACAACAGCGATTGACGGTGCAGATGCACAGCGAGGGGGAGGCTTCCCAGAGGAAGCGGAGCTGAAATTTTTTTCAATTATTCTGCAAAACATTCCTGCCGATGTCTGGCAACTTGGCTCCCACGCACTCCCTTGTGGGATGGCAATCACTTTCTGGCTCTGTATTTGACACACACACACACACACACACACACACACCCCTGAATGCCAGAGGGAGTTGGAAATAAGGGGTTCTCACCCACACCCTTGATTCTGGACCCTCTTCCTGGATTTGTGCAGGCTTTCCACTTGGACAAAGTCTCTTGCGTGGGAGAAGCTGGGCAGGAATGCTGGGCCAAGATGAGGGCAGGGAAATGGAAGATTCCCGCTCCGTCCGGGGGGGACGGGGACGGCCTAGCTGGTTTCCCGGGAAACGAAGCCACAGCCATACACCGTTCGGGACTCGTGTGCCTTTTAATAGTCGCGTCGGGAAGAGGGAATGTTGGCAGGTGCAGCTTGCCATGTAGTGCAGAGAAAAGCCACACACACACCCCGTTAAAAAAATGTCATGCACGAGATGAAAGGGCCCAGAGCCCCCCGCTTTGGGGTGGGCCAAATCAGCCCATAGGGGCTTCACCGCAGCATTCCTGTTCTTTCGCTTGCTCATGTGGCATGAGATTTATTACAGGCACATCAGCGCCTTCCTTCAGGGGAGGCGTTCCTGCTGACAGCCTTCCCCCCTCCGCCCCTTTCCATTTGGACCTGAAGGGTAGGCAGCTGGCACACAGAAACCACCAACCGTGAAATGTAAAATCAAGAATCTCTGATGGAAGATCAGCAGGGGGTGGAGGGTGGGGGGTCTGGGCTGATTCTTCCACTCCGGATAGAGCGAGTTTCTCCCTGAAAGAAGCCTTGACCCAATCTCACTCCCCACACTTTGGCCAAAGGGCAAGCCGGGTGTTGTCAAACTACAACTCCCATCAGCGGTCAGGGGGTTTGGGAGCTGGAGCCTCCAGGGGTCCTGGAGGATGTTCTTGCCCCTTCCAGTGTCTGGAAGAGGCTCCTGGGCCTGTTTCCTCCCCATAGGCCAGCAGAGCTCATAGCCAAAAGGAAGGTGCTGAGTGCTTAAGGTTGCCCTACCTTCAACTCTCCACTTCCATTTTAAAAAGAAAAGGAAACTCCCCTGGTTCTTTTACTTGTGGGAACAGAAGGAAAATCCTGCAGGCTGGATTCTACTGGGATAAAAGGAGTAAACCAGCCCCTACCTTCCAGCGACCACAAATGCTCTGGGAAAAAAGGATAAGTGGCAGGCACTCACTTTCAAGTGGCATAAATATATGTTTTAATATAGAATATAATTACGTAACATTTGACATATTGCAATAACTGTTTAGGATCTGGTTGTTTTGCATTCATTCCTCTGCCCCCCCCCCAAAAAATCTGGCTACCTCCTCCAGTGCTCAAATTATTGGAGAAAAGGCAGAGTGGCTTAAAGAAAACTGCAAACTCAACCCCCTCTCCCGCCCCGATCCCTCCAGTTTTAGCCAAATCATGGCTCCCGCAGTACTCCTCTGGAACAGTAGCTGAGGGAGCAGCCAAAAGGGACAGAATCGTAGGACTGTAGAGTTGGAAGGGACCCCCAAGGCTCATCTAGTCCAACCCCCCAATCATAACTGAAGTCAAGGGAGGGGGGTTGCTGGCACCTCTGCAACTGAAGCATTACTAACCTCTCTCCTCTTTAGTCTCAGGTGCACCAGGGCCAGTATAAACTGGGAAATGAATATGCACTTGAATGCCTAAAACCTGCACAGGGGAGCTTGCACCATGCATGACTTGGCATGCTAAATATGCTACCGCATATACACTCCTGTCGCGCTGACTAGTTACAAAACCCAGATTGACTTCCCGTTTTGCAACCTTCCTTTATTCAAGCCGAAGCACCCGAGGTGTTGATAGGGCTGCCTCCTGTGGCAGGTCAACATTTGAGATGCGTGTGGCAACACAAGTCTTGTTTCCAATAAAAATTGTCGCAAGGTGCCTTGCTGACGGCAGAAAGGCAGTGTAGAGATGGAGCGGCAGCGTGATGCTGTGGTTAGAGTGGGGGTGAGGTGCCTGTGGCCCTTCAAACAGCACAGGAACACCCAACTCCCATCATTTTTAGCTATTGGCCTTGTTGGCTGGGACTGATAAGAGCTGGAGCCCAGGGATATCTGCCCCCCCCCTGGCTCCCCCATCTCTGGGCCAGGAGTGGAGGAAATAAAAGGCATAACACTAGGGGAAAATGTTTATAAAATCAGGGCATTTGCAGATGATCTGATTGTGATGGTGGAAAATCCAATTAACAGTACAAAGAAACTTTTAGAGAAAATGGAAGAATTTGGAAAAGTGGCAGGCTTTAGATTAAATAAAGAAAAAACAAAAATGATGGTTAAAAATATGGATAATCAGAGCAAAAAGGATTTAGAAGAAGCAATCAGATTGCAGAGAGTGAAAAAAGCAAAATATTTGGGGATTTACTTAACAATGAAAAATACAAAGGCAGTTTTCCATGCGCCTGTCTCGTGGTGCAGCGGAGGATGTTGAGAAGCATGAAATGGCACCGAATTACCTTTTCTTCTCTTGTCTGCAGCAGCACCTGCGACCTGGACTATGAGCTCTATAAAGAGGATTTGCCCTACAGGTGCGTTTTGGGGCTTTGCTCTCCCTCCCTCATTGCCGGCCCATCAGCATAACGGGTGGGAGTGGGTTTCCCCCACCATATCCTTGGACCTCAGCAACAACAACCCCCCCCCCGTCCACATTTGAGCTGTGGTTTCAAGGGGATTCTGCAACTGACCCTCTTGCTCTCGTTTCCTGCAGGGTCTACGAGTACCAGAAGATTCCCCCGCTCATCAGTCACATCCCGGTCAAGGCCAGGAGAAGCCACTTGGGGGCCGGGGGCAAGGCCAGCTTGGGTCCCCACGCAGGGCTGAGGGGCAGCAGCGGCTCCACAGCAGGCCGAACGAAGTGTAAGCGCTTTGGGGCAGAGAGGGCCTGGTGTCCCAGGTGCCAGGGGACTCTTTCAGCACTTAGCGCCGATAGTGAACGAGCCTGTCAAAGAATGTTTGCAGTCCAGGCTCTCTGAGGGACGGAAAAGCAGTCTGTTTGGATGTGACTAAAATCCCACACTGACAAGCACCTGGGTGGCCTGTGGGCTAGGAAGAGGATCTAAAAGGGAGCAAAGCTGAAGAGCAGGGAGTCTCATGGAAGGGTATAAAGCAGGCAGTGAAGTGGGAAACAGTAGTCAGGGAGATGGGGAACGAAAGGAATTTCATGTGTTGTTTTGCACTCAGCAGCCAGTCTTTGGGGTACAGGTTCTATTGTTTTGTTTCCATTTATCTCGTCCTGATGTGTTTCTCGCAGAAACATGTTAGTATATTGGCTTGAATATAAGCCACACTTTCCCCCCAAATTCCGACCATGAAAAGTTAAAGTGTGGCTTAAATTCGTGACCCTACAAAAATCGGCTTTTACAAGACTTCCAGGTGAGGCAAGATGGCGGGCGCCACAGCAGCACGTAGCTCCTAGGACCACCAGCACAAGACAGAATTTTAACAGAGCAGCTTATTATCGGGTATTGTCTCCCCCCCCCCGAATTTTAAAGAAGCAGCTTATTTGTGGGTGCAGCTTATATTTGGGCCAATACGGTACTTCGTTTGGGCTCTGAGTTCAAAAAAGAGCAACACTTCATAGGCACCTTTGTATCCATGCATGTGCCAAGGCCCTTTTGATTTGTAAATAGGAGCTCCTTGCCCACCACAGCTTCCACGAGCTAAGGAGAGCAGCCAGCTGACCGCGGTTTTGATCCACGCACTTGAACACAACTTGTAGCCTCCCCCCACACCCTCCCAGTGACAAAACCAGTGAACAGCTGGTGTGAAACCCTCCCTACCCGCGTCAGTTTCTGCGGGGTGCCAGTAACGTGGTTTGGGCCGCTCACGCTGTCTTTCCCTTCCAGTGCGAGCAGAGGAGCTGCACTCCATCAAGGGAGAGCTAAGTCAGATTAAAGCTCAGGTGGACAGCTTGCTGGAGAGCCTCGACCGGATGGACCAGCGACGGGAGCAGCCCACAGGTGAGGAGGCGCGTGAGAGTCAAGGAGCCGTGAGGATGAACAGCAGCATTTTGTTGCAGGTCTTAGGCACATGCACACAAAGCAGAGTTCAGATTTTCTGATCAGAAAACTGACCAGAAATTCTAAATCCCAGCTTCCTTGTCTACAGCAGGTTTGTTGGCTGGAGCATCATTAGGATTCCTGCCTGCCTGTAAACTCATTGAGGCGCAGGACCTGGCCCAGTGGAGCAGGATGCACCTGCCTTGTGGCATCATCATCATCATCATCATCATCATAAATTATTATTTATACCCTGCCCATCTGGCTGGGTTTCCCCAGCCACTCTAGGCGGCTCCCAACAGAATATTAAAATACAATAACCTACTAAACATTAAAAGCTTCCCTAAAGAGGGCTGCCTTCAGATGTCTTCTAAAAGTCTGGTAGTTGTTTTTCTCTTTGACATCTGGTGGGAGGGCGTTCCACAGGGCAGGTGCCACTACCGAGAAGGCCCTCTGCCTGGTTCCCTGTAACTTTGCTTCTTGCAGTGAGGGAACCACCAGAAGGCCCTTGGCACTGGACCTCAGCGTCCAGGCAGAACAGTGGGGGTGGAGACGCTCCTTCAGGAATACTGGACCAAGGCCGTTTAGGGCTTTAAAGGTCAGCACCAACACTTTGAATTGTGTTCGGAGCATAGTAAACCTAGGCTCAGTGCCTAGGTGGGAGACAGCTTGGGAGCACCACAAACGGCCCGGCGCCAGGAAAAAGGTGATGTGGAAAAGTGATGAATGGGTAAGGTGGTGTAATGTGCCTGCTTGCCTGCTTTGTCTGATCCCTCAGGCTCCAAGGAGGTCAAGAAGAAAGCAGCCGCCAGCACAGAGGCCTCCTACTCAGCAGGAGAGACCACCCGGAGGAAGGAGAGCCCCGTGCAGGATGGCCGGGCTGCTCTGCCGGAGGTGGACAGTGCAGAGGAGAGCACAGACACCGAAGAGGCGGTGAGTGGCAGCGCCGAGGGCAGAGTAGCAAGAAGGGGAGCAACAGTGAGGCTGCAGGTCTCTCCCTCCCTCTTCAGTGGAAATTTGGGAACGCAATGTGGGATTTTTTGTGATACCATGCAGATACAGTACTGCATTTTATTGCTACAACATTGAAAGCCGCACCTGTCCAGAGCGTCAATGGTCAAGGTGATACCTTATGCAGAAAAAGCTACCAGGGTCTCTCAGGATTGTCTATTGCAAGAGCTCCTCTGAGCCTTTCCCCTTTGCCTTTTTGTGCAAAGCAAGGCTGCGCCGTTTCCTAAGCTTTTCTGCCTTGCCTGCATCTGCACCATTAAGCAAGGGCTGTAGCTTTGCATCTCATTATGTGCCCCAAGACACACACACCACACACCCACACACACCCTTGCTAGCTCTGGGGTGGGAGAGCTGCTAGGAGCTCTCTCAGGCTATTGGAAGCCCACTAACTCCACAAGTTGCACAAAGGTCAGGTCACAGCCATCATCAAGTGTTGAGTATTTGAATGGTTTTGGTTTGATCAATGTTGTGTTTGTCATGTGACTAGGAGGGACTGTGCCTATCATAGAGGCAAGATGGCCAGAGGGACATGGGGAGGGGGAGACTTGCAGAGCAAACACCAGGGGCCCAAATTCTTCAGAGGGGTTTAGCAACCATTCCTGCTTTTCTCAGGGAAGTCTGGGAATTGTAGCTCCCTGAGATGAATGGGTGGTGCTTACTATGACTCTCAGCACCCTTATCAAACTGCAGTTCCCAGGATTATTTGGTGGGCGGAGCTGTGCCCGTCTAAAGTGCTTCGACTCTGCTTTAAATACGCAGCACAGATTGGGGCTGAGGATTCAACAGAGAAAATGCCGAGTTATGCCTCAGGGACGAGGCTGACAAAGCCTCTTCTTTCATTGCAGGCAAGGAATCACACGTTGGACCTGGAAGGCAGCCAGTAAGAGGACCTGGAGTGCCCCCAACCCCTTTGCCCGGCGTTTCCTTCCTGTGTTTTGTATTCCTTCCGATGCCTCTGGCCGGTGCTGCGTCCGGCGTCAGTTCCCTGCCGTCAGGGCTGGTGCAGAGGCCGAGACGCCCACCACGGTCTCCCTCGCACCTTTTTCTGGCCTGGCAGAGAGAGACTCCTGTGGCGCGTTCGAGGGAGAAGCAGCTTGGTGTTCTTTGTTGTGAAAATTAAAATATGCCAATGTGGGAGACGGGTGGGCAAAGCAGGCAGTGCCAACGTCGCACTTGCCCAGCTCAGCATTAAACAAAAAATAAAGCAGTTGCCATCTCCTACTGATAATGATGTGTTGCTTGCTGTCCTGTCTTAGCTACAGATTTACCATGTGCCAGACCAGATTGATTGCTGCCTTTTATCATTTCTGAGCCTGACGTGTCTGCTCAGAAGTACATCCCATGAGCTTCAGTGGGGCTTCCTCCCAGGTATGTGGGCAAAGGAGTCCCCAGCCCCCCAGATGTTGCTGGACTGCAACTCCCATCATCCCCGGCCATTGCCCAATTTGGCTTACGGCTGAGGAGTTGTAGTCTGAAACATCCAGACGCCACCAGGTTAAGAAAGGCTGCTCTAGACTCAGAAGAGAAGCCCTGTGGGATCAGACACACAGCCCATCCAATCCAGGGATGGGAAATCTGTAGCGCCCCAGATGTTGTTCTCCCAGCTTCCATCAGCCTGGACCCACATGCCCAATGGTCAGGGATGATGGAGAACTTCAGCCAAACATCTGGAGGGCCGAAGAATTCCCATTGCAGGTCTAATCCAGCATCCCGTTTGCCACAGAAGCTGTTTGGGTGCTTTTGGAAAGCCCAGGTGACAACCAAAGCCTTTTCCTGATGCAGTTTCCCAGCAGGGACCCATGTTTAGAGGCATCTATGTGCTGTCTTGGAGGTGGCATGCAGCCATTGTGCCTAGTCGTCACTGGTAGTCTTTTCCTTCATATAGGACTTAATCCCTTCTAAAGGTGTTTGCGTTTGTGGCTCCCAGCTGCACAACCTGAAGCAGTGCTTCGCTTTCTGTCAGTGCCATCCGCTGAACCTGATTTCTAATACTATGATGATGCGGGGAGGGGGAACAAATATTCTGCAAAACCGTAAGTGTCCCTTGTGTAGATGGCTAGTTGCTGCTTTATTGCACCACCGGACAACAAAGATAGGAGTGATTACTGCAAGTACATTTTGCAAATATTTTTGAACTTGTAAAATCCACTGGTCTGAAACTTGGCAACTGGCCAGCCTTCTCAGTCTTTTATAATAGCACTGGGCATGCACGTTGCCCATGAACTTCGTAGAGGAGCTGCTCTGAGTTCAGACCATTTTCTTAAAGAGATGGCACGTCCCTAGAATGGTCTAGGAAACCCATCCACAAGATGCATGGTTTTATAATGTACTTAACCCAGTAACCATTTTTTCAGGACATTGTTGCACCGGACCAGCAAAAGATATGCATGTGACCTCACTTTAAACCTAAATATAGGTTTATGTCAATGCCAGGGTTTATTTCTGGCTATGATAACCTGAACTCTAGTTTTGTGGGCACCTTTTGTGCTATTCCAGATTTCGCAGAGTAGCTCATTTTCTCTCTTCCTTTTCCCAGTTTACTCCATTCGCTGACACTCTAGTAAATTCTGGAGTCCATAAATACACACTACACTAGTAGACTTCAACTGGTGTCCTGGGACCCAATGCTGGGTTATGGTCTGATCTAAACCTGATCACAACAGCAGCGTTCCCACCGTGCAAATACATGGCAAGAAAACAAGACATGGGCTCCCAAATGTGGGTTTGGCTTGAAAGTGGTTCCCGAATTTGAAACTGTTGAAGACAACTGCATCAACTCCACAGTGATAGTAAGAGGGAGAAGACATGAAAACCAAAAAGCCTTAAGTTATGCAAAATAGTGTATTTTAATTATAAAAAGAGACTTTATTACAAGTATCTAATAAACTTTTCTCCATGAAGAACAAGTTCTCAAGCCTTGCATATCACAAGATACTAGTAGGTCCTAGTAAATCAGACCAAGTATTAATGAGTCCATGACAGAAGCAGATTGTGCTGGAAGTGGCCACTGAATAGTCAACCTGCAACTCGCTGCCAAATTAGCTAATCACTCTACATCCACCTTGATCCCATTACCAGTTACTGGCTCACTTCCATCACCTGCAAGAAGAAACCATTTCAATCTTTAGGATGCCCATTTGAGGTTGACCTTTTAACAAGGGAGGTCACACACAATTTATTACACCATGGGTCTGCAAAAGGAGATTTCACATAATGAAGTAGTCTGATACAGTGTCCTGCCTTTAGTCCCCAGATGTTGAGCTAAACTTCCCATCATCCCTATCCATATTAACAGATGAGATGATGGGACTTGTAGTCCCAATATCTGAGGACCCAAAGTTGAAAAATACCAGAGTAATTTCAGCAACAAACTTTTAGCCAATACAAAAACCCCCCATAAACTTGCCGCATTTCCTACGAGAAAATGCTGATTTTTAATTTTTTGTCTTAAAGCAAGGAGTTTCAGGGAAGCGGGGAGGAATGCAGAGAATGATGTCACCTTATTGACAATTGCCTCAATGCAAAGCACACTGATTTGGAAGGAAACTCCTTTGAAATGAGGGTATCCAAGAAAGCAGGTTAAGAAGCAGGCTGTGTGGATTAACCCATTTTGTTCCTTGACATTTTCAAAGTGGTGTATTTTTAAACTTCGGAATTTTGAAAGCAAACATAGCCGCCAACAACACTGGACTAATGAACAAATGCAGATTCCTATCCCAAACTGATAATCATAGCAATTTGAAAACTCAGACCAAGGAAGAACTTTGGATTCAACCAGCAGCAAATAACGCTTTTTTGTTTTTCTTGAGACTCAGACTGTGCGCACATGCACACACACATCATATATTTACAACATTTAAAGCAGATTTTCCCCCTCCCAAATCCCAGGAACTGGGTGAAAACAACACAGAGCAAAAATTCCTGGCACTTTAATAAAGTAGCTTTCTGGGCCTGACTTTCGGAAGTCTCTCTCACTCTCCGTCGAAGTTTCCCTCGCAAAGAGTGCGGAGCTGCAGAGATTGTCTCGTGTGGATGTGGCCTGCTCTCCAGGGGGAAAAGGGGTCGGCTCGCCTTCCCTGGATCGCGACTGGGCCCTCCGTGGTTGCGGTTCCTCGCCAAGGAGGAGGCCAGGCAACTTCACCTAGGTCGGGTAAACCACGCTCAGATCCCGGATCCAAAACCACGATGCAGCCGAAGCCCAGAGAGACATCGGAAGAGGAGTCCGGCGAGGCGCAACCCGAGAAGTTCCCGGAGTTCAGGCGGTGGCGGCGGGAGGCTGGGCCGTGTCTGTGTCGGTCGGCGCTTGGGTGCCCGGCGCGGGTCGGCGCTTGGCAGCGCGCAGGAGGCTCTGTCGGAGCAGCGGGTAGAGGCGCTGGCATCCGTCGAGGCCGAGGCGCACGGCTTGCGCCCAGCTGTCGGGGGGCCCTCCCTCGCCGCTGCCCAGCAGCCCGGCCACCTGGTTGAGCGAGGGCAGGAGCGCCACGGTGAGGCGGGCGTCGGCGGCGCGCTCCTCGGGCTCGCTGGGCTGCAGGCGCCACTCTCCGCCCGGCGTCCGGCACAGCGCGCACGCCGCCACCAGGTCGTAGAGCTCCACGCCGGCGTCGGCCAGGGCCAGCCCCGCGGCGCACAGCGCGGCCGCCAGCGCCGAGCCGCCGTCCTGCAGCAGAAGCGCGCTCACCTCCAGCTGCGCCCGCGGGTAGCGCGCCAGGCGCACGGCCGGCTCCAGCGCCTCCTGCAGCGCCAGCGCCAGCTCGGGCTCCCGCTCGCTGGGGCGGATGCGCGCCCCGCGCCCCGAGAAGGGCGCCCGTCGGAACTCGCACACCAGCCGCCCGCGGGGCTCGCCCGGAGCCGCCGCGCCCGCCCCGCCGCCGGCTTCGCGCGGCCCGGCCACCGAGCACAGCACTTTGGTGCCGCCGTGGAGCTCCACGTAGGCCGAGCCCTTGGCCTGGCTCAGCAGCCCCGCGCGGGCGAAGAGCGGCTGCAGCGCCGACGGGTCGCGGGGCGGAACCTCCGGCGCCTCGACGGGCGCGAAGAGCAGCGGCGTCTGGGACTCCTCCGGCCCCGGCACCCGGCGGTGGTCCTGCGGCATGGCTGCTTCGGCTGCTGGCGCGTCGCGCTCCGGAAGGGGAAGAGGAAGCTGCTCGAGGGAGGGACAGGCGGAGGGAGCAGCGGCTTCGCTTCCGAGGCGCACGGGCGGTTTAGCGCCGAAAGAGCGCCGTGGCGGAAAGGGGACCTGCAGCCCCCGCCTCGCAGACACCCGTCGAGGCAGGGAGAGCGCCTCGATTCCCGCATCCCAGCAGCTGCGGATCCTGCACTCAGAAGGAAGCCTCCGGGCTCCCCGGTGGATTCCAGTTCATCTTGGCTCCAGCCAGAAGAGCCGGTGGCCAGGGTGGAGGGAGTTGTGCCCCAGTGCTATCCATGATTAAAGAGCCGTTTTATATCCATTTTTTGAGTTTGGCAAAGAGATGAGCGGATTCAGGGCTCCTGCAGTTTATGATGGGTTGGAAGCTGCGTGAGCCTTAGTTTTGGGGTGCCCTCCCTCTCCAACTGGCAACAGGTGTGTGGGGAGCCTCCAATCTGGGCTGAGCCCTCACTTACGTTCTGGACTAGCAGAAGCCACAAACCTGCAGCTCAGCCTCCAAGATGTACATGACATTGCAAGTACCAGAGCACCACTCTGTGCAACTTTAACCAGGACAGAGAAAGGTGTTGCCATCGCAGAAGCCCATGAGCAAGTGGGCACAGCTGACCTCACTGTCCTGGTCAAAGTCCCCAAACTGTTTGGGCTGAGTCACCCACTGCTCCGGCAGCCACACTGCTCCCCTCTTCTGGCCCACATCAAACTAGGTTAGCGCTATGGGCTATTTTATGAAGTCATGCCCTCTGTCACATTCTGTTAGTAAATGCACAGGTGAATGGCAATCCTATTTTGGAGCTCTGTCTCGCTATGGAACGTCCAAGCTGTCCCTACATCCCAGCTGCTACCATAGAACATTTAGCCTTTGTTCCAGTTAGCAAACAGTAATTTTACACTGTGAGCCTGCTGCTCCTGTGTGTATGGATGCATCAACTATTTCCAAAATTTATTATCTCTCTGTAATATGCTGTGCTACTGAGGATTTGTTCTTGTCATGTCAACAAGGCTGGAAACGATTAATGCCAGGATGGCATTCATTCATCTGGCTTCCATGAGGCCAAATGAAGCCTGGCGCTCAGAACCCCATCCTCCTCCCATGGCCAGGTGATCTCTGCTCCATTAAAGTTTGCTTTCAGAAATGATCTTGGGCTTAGCATTATATATGAAGGGAGAATTGTAAATTATGACGAGCAATAGTTAAGCTTGCAGCAACAAACCATCATTTGCTGTAACCCACAACCTGCATTTTGCACATAATGGTGAGCTGAGGTTCTCTGAAAGCAAGATATAAGCCAGGAGATGATGGGCAAGATGAGCAAGCCCCCTGTTTTGCTTGGGCTCAAGTGAGCTACTGGCTCAAATATCCCTCTGGCAGAACAAGGAAGGAATTTGCAGGTCTCCACTACCCATTTTAGTTAACCACAGCCTCCCATGTCATCCAAACCAGCAAGTGCAATTGGAAGTAACTGGGCTTGATTTCCCCAAGCCAGCTTCTGAAACAAGCAGCAACGATGTGGGAGGAAGCGATGGGGTGAGCACCTGAGTGTGAGGCTTGCTAAGGCATGTTCCTGCTTACGCACTTCACACTAGACCATGGTTTAGCACAGGCATAGGCAAACTCTGCCCTCCAGATGTTTTGAGACTACAATTCCCATCATCCATGACCACTGGTCCTGTTAGCTAGGGATGATGGGAGTTGTAGTCCCAAAACATCTGGACGGCCGAGTTTGCCTATGCCTGGTTTAGCATAACCGTTCTTTGGTTCCACAGCAACAAATGCACTTAAACACACATCTGTTCATTTATTCAGCACTGAACCTATTCTCATGCCAGGCAAGTCTGCCCAGGTAAGGCTTTGCTACAACAGAGGTTAACACTACGAACCGAAGAAAGGGTTTCCCCGTTACAACGAAAGACATTATAGCAGCCTTGATTGCTCACCCCCTGCACATGCTCACGTTACAGCAAATGCTTCAAGTGCTTGAGCATGGATGGAGGCGGCTGTGCAGAGCCCCCTTCAAACGGTGCAACAGGAGCAACACTGCAGAATTAAACTTTAGAATGTTAGGAAGCATGTATGTGTCCCAATGGCTGTGTGCAAAAAAAGGGAGGACACTCAGTTGGCAGCAGGCCCCTTGAGGCAGCTCAGTTATCACCGCGACAAGAGATCAGAACTTGTGCAGTCATGGGCTCTGGTGTCCTGTGATCAAGTCATCGCCTTACAGGGCCACCTTGTTTGGTTAGTGCCTGACAGGCTGAATTTAGAAGGACAACAATGTGCAGTCTTTGTCTCCACAGACATAACGCTAAAGTAGAACTCCTAACCTATTGGCCAAGCAGACAGTTCCCTTTCTGAGTTTGCGCCACAGGCTGGGGATCAGTTCTTCAGCTCACCCAGCTTGAGCTTGGCAAAGTCTGTTGCCAGCTTCAGGGCTTCTTCAAGGCAGTCGATGTTCTTGCCGGTGGCCTGGGCAGAGAGGTCTTTCCCGCCCCCCCTGCCGTCCATCAGCCCAGACACCTGTTGCACCCATTCGCTGGCCTTGAGCCCTTTGCCAACGACTTCCTGAGAAAGAACAGAGACAGCCTGTGTTAGAGTTCTGCTCCTCTTAGTTCTGAGAGCTGCCAAGAATATACAGGATCCTGTGATGCTCAGGCTGTGCATGGAGGAGGGTGTTGTTGTCATGTGCCCCCCAGAACTGAACAACTAAACAGTGTGTTCAGAGAAGGGTGAACCAGGATAATGGGGGGGGGTCTAGAAACCAAGTCTTAGAAGGGAACAGTAGAACAGTTGGGGACTCTCCAACGACAAGGTTTGAGGAAGGAAAGGGACTTGCTTTCAACTGCCCCCACCAGCCCCCAATAAACTTCTCTCAGAAGGGGTATGTATGCCTGCAAATATCATCCAATTCTGCCAAGTTACGGCCTTCCTTGACTTCCCAAATAGTGAGTGGGATTCCCCACACCCCAAATGCAATCTGCCTCACACAGGTACCAAATCTGCTAACTTCCAAAGCGCTTTGGATCGAGGTGAGCTGTCTTCTGAAGTGCCAACTTGGGAGTCCAAACTGAATTTTCTGGTTGGTGCACACTCCTTACTACAAAGCTTCCAGACAAGAGGCTAGATTCTACAGGAGTAGGAAAGCTTCTGTCTTTAACACCCTCCAGGGACAAAGAATGTTGAGATCAGAGGTGAGGAACCTTTCGCTTTCTCCTCTAAAGGCCTCAGGGGGGAGTGGCTGTGATTGGAGGCTCCTCACAGTTGAAGCAGAGCCTATTCCTCTAGTTACCCAAATTACATCTGCTGAAATTAATGAACATGACCAAGCTTAGCAAATTAATTTCAGTGGGGATACTCTGAGTACAGCTTAGATGAATACCACCTTCTGCCTGGTCAGTTGGTGCCCCAAGAGTGCTGAATCCCCACTCACATCCCCAAACCACCCCAGGTCTACCTGAGGGACTTGGCATAAGCAGGTGATCTTGCCGGCTTCATTATCCACGGTGAACAGCATGGCTGCTGTCTGAGGTGAATGAGTCTTCAACAGCTTCAGAGATTCATTAAGTGCCTGCGGAAAGACACAGGTGTGGTTACAGAGAGCACGTGCTATGCACAGTCACGTCCAATTCTCAGATCTTTGGGCAATTTGCAGTAGATCAGTAATTCCCAGTGGTTTGACAGGAGCAACTTGCTTGCAGCCACAGCAAGTTGCGCAGGTTCCCTCCTTGCCCAATGCACCTCCGCCCCCTGTGCAAAGAGCAACGAGAAGAGATTTGGGGGATACCTTTGCAGAAGCACCGCTCTCCATTTCCAGAATGACCAGTGGCTGGTTGGGGTGAGCCTCGATGAGCTGCTTCGTCTTCTCCAGAACCTGAAGGAACAAAGAGAGGTCAGGCTCAGGAACGCTGGTGATGGGAGCGGGGAAAGAAAGGGAAAGCTCCTCTCAAATGCAAAGAGATGCATCTTTTGTGTTGCAGAGAACAGAAAAACACAAGCAGCATGTCAGGCATAAGGATGCAGGTGTGTGGAAATGCACACATTGCTCTTTGGCCAAGGCAAACACTCAAAGAGTGGCTGGAAGCAACTGTAATCTGGCAAAAAGATCTGCTGTGTTTGGACTACGCAGCAGGTGTATGAGAGTTGGGTGGGTGGGTGGACCTCACAGTTCGCTCTGGTGGTCCAGGCTCTTCCCTCCAGAGAGAGGGAGGAGAAGCTGGAGCTGGGCTTAAGCAGTGGCTGGAGGCTGAAGTCACACAACAAATAGGAGCAGCCTCATTTCCCTTTTAAAACGGTCTGAGCGAAGGGGCCCCCCTTTCCTGATCACTGCTTGCATGTGCTTTCAAAAAGGGAACTCTGCCATTTCTACCCATTTCCACTCCCTTTGCCTATGACAGTGGGATGGGAGAACTCACTCGTTTCTGGATGTCTGCTTTGCAGGCACGGTCAAGGTCGTCCATCACCTTCTTCAGTGCTTTGAGGGCCTCTCGGAGTTCATCTTTCTGCCACTGGGGAATGACGGTGGTGGCCAGCACCTGCAACCAGAAGGCGGCACTGAAGCCACAGCCCACGTTTCACAAACGACAAATAATTTGTATCTGAAATAGTGTGTATCTGAAGAAGTGTGCATGCACACGAAAGCTCATACCTAGAACTAACTTAGTTGGTCTTTAAGGTGCTACTGGAAGGATTTTTTTTTTTTGACAAATAATTTGTTGTATTTCCAGCATGTTCAGTGCGGGTCCAGATGCCTTCCACATTTAAGAACAAAAGGAGAGTCTGCTGGAATGGGCCAGTGGCCTATCTAGACCAGCATCCTGATAGCAGTGCTCAAGTGACCCCACCAACTTGAGAATTTGGGGGAAAGGGGCTGATCCCACTTCTCCCCTTCCCCTGCTCTCGTACCTCGCCAAGGTCTGCAATCTCGTGCTGGACTTCTTTGTTGGGGGCTGTCTGGACCTTCACCTTGTCTTCAAGGTCAGAGAGTAGCTTTTTAAGGATGTCCACTTTCCTCAGTGCCTTGGGAAGAGAAAGGGGGTTCAGGATTTTGAGGTGGCGTTGGAAAGAAACAGTGACTTTTACTCTCCCACAAGCGTAGCAGGGTCACTGCGGTGTGTGGCCTGGGAAGTGTTCTCGGGGCCAGACAGAGAAGGCTGCCCAGCCGTACTTAGTGTCCAGGCCTACAGGTCCCCACCCCATATTTTATTTCCCCATCTCACCCACAGCTTGATCCTTGCCTACTGCACCTGCCCACCCCCTGCTCACCTTCTGTGCTTCTCCTCTGGTGACAGCCACTATGCGCCGGATGCCCTTGGCAATTGCTTCCTCGGACACAATGACAAAGTGACCGGCGTGAGCAGAATTCTGTAAGTGCCTGTGAAAATATCAGCGAACTGAGAAACGCCACAGACATTTACAAGCATCTCCTGACTTGGCAACGGAGGGAGCTTGACTTCAGAGAGAGGGAGATAGATATGATGATTTTGTTCTGGGAAGGAGCGAGGCAGCCTGAGCTTTGGGTACAGGTGAAGACCCCCTTCGACCACCCTTTGCTGTGTGGAGCACCAAGGAGAACAAGCAACAGGCATTCTCATGGGTCCAGCTCTCTTGCTATGGATCTGGAACCCTCCTTCGTCCCAAGCCCTACTGCTGGACTTACGTTCCCCCGCAGAACTCGACCGACGTCATGGCACCCGCACCGCTGGAGGGGTCAGCCAGCATATCCTCAATGGGGATGCCGATTGAGACCACACGCACGGGGTCAGGGTATGTCTCGTCAAACACTGCACGGAGGCCCTGGATGGCTTTGGCAGCTGCCAGGGGACAGTCTTTGGCATACACGACCTGGGGAACAGACCACTGAAGTTAACAGAAGTTAAGGACAAGCAAGAGCACAGGAAAATTCTTGCTGGATCAGACCGCAGGCTGGTCTAAAACAAACATGCACAAGTAAAAATCAGGGGAAGAGTAAATGAAGCATGTGGGGATAATACTGTTACACCTCATAGGATTGCTGTAAGGATCGATGAGATAATATAATGGGGAAATCAGAAGATAAATGCCGTATTTTATTATTCAGGCATTTGCTCTGTTGCGAAAAGCCCATGCCACAAGTGGGTTTCTAGTGGGTTTCTGGCTCAAAGAAGGAGCATTCTTTGGAAGTCTCCAAGAACAGGACCTGGAAGTTCTCAGCATACTCAAAACAGAGGTGGGGAACCTTTTTCACCCAAGGGGCTACATTGCCTTTTAGCAATCTTCCAGAGGCCACAAGGCAGCAATGGGTGGGGCCAGAGGAGAGTTTGGATTTGATATCCTGCTTTATTGCTACCCGAAGGAGTCTCAAAGTGGCTAACAATCTCCTTTCCCTTCCTCCCCCACAACAATCACTCTGTGAGGTGAGTGGGGCTGAGAGACTTCAAAGAAGTATGACTGGCCCAAGGTCACCCAGCAGCTGCATGTGGAGGAGCGGGGACGCGAACCCGGTTCACCAGATTACGAGTCTACCGCTCTTAACCACTACACCACACTGGCTCTCATGAAAGAATGGGCAGTGCAGTGAACACAAATTTTACCTCCGTGCAGGAGGCTGGTTTCTACACATGCTGCTCTCCACCCAGGGAACCAGGAGTCTTGGTCACGGAGAACCATTTCAGCCAGGTGA